TTGCCCTTTGAAACGGAATTGGCTGCTGGTGAAACGATGGCATGTGTTGACGGCGTACGTGAGGGAGAGCGAGAGTGAGTGAGACAAATGATGGCAACTATTTTCAATAGGTTTGGGAAACAAGCTCAAATGTTGTCTAAACTGATGCGTGGTGTTGTGTTCAAGTAGCGCGTGGGCGTGGGTAACCGCGGCCGTCTGAACGCGTGTCTGTCCGAGCAGAAGTCGCTCGAGTGGCTACTGGTCACAGAGTCCTTGAGTAGGGATGGCAGACTCTAGTGCAGTCCATATCGGCTTCGCTACGAACAAAATCACACCAATCATCTCGCGATGAACCTCGTTACTTCCTCTGGTAGCCAAACTTCCATCCTGTGGATGTACTTATATACACAAGAGTGCACTCTCAGGCATGAGGTGTTGTAACTATTGCTTTTTATTCTGTCTGTAAGTATCATACGTATTTTCATTGTCACACCACAAAATCTTCGCTGTCGCACCCCAGCTCCAAAGGACTCATTCTGCCGAATAAACAGTTTAATATGAGGGTGGTTTCTCTGCTTGTATGGTGTCCATCAACTTCCATTTTTTCTTTTATTTCGTCTCTAGAACGTTTATATAATGGAGCGCCCTCTGGTTGTACTGATCCTTCCGAAAATCCATCCTCAAATGATTCCCCCTGATCTCCAGCCCCTGCTCGTTTTTGTCAACATCAAGTCTGGTGGCTGTCAGGGCATTGAACTCATGACTGCATTCCGCCGTCTCCTGAATCCTTTCCAAGTAAGTCAGTCTTCTTTCTTTGCTTCTTGCTACCGGCCTAGGTGGAGACATAGGAAGGGGTCTTGGTTCGAATTGCTTGCCTGAAAATAGGAAGCTATGCTTATGTAAAGTTTTCACCTCTAGCAGAGGTACCAAAAATGCTTTCGTGACGAAGATGCTATAACCAGTCACACCCAGGCCACCTTCGGCGAAACAACACATCTCCTTCTCTTCAGACCGTTTGTGGTAATAGAGTTCGAGTGCGGGAGTCTGTACGTTCGTGATTTGAACATATCGTTTGTAGCGTTAAACTGGTCTCTTACCTGATGCTTTTTATTGATTGATTCCCAGGCAGGGTTAAAATTAAAACATGGGAATACTTATCCACTCGCGAAATTTATCGCAAGGCCACCTATTTTAAGTGGGTGGGGCTTCCTATACCCGTTTCCTGTTTTTAGCGGCCGTACAAGTCATCCTTGCATGAAAATATTTCAAATCATATGTATAGCTTGGGCCATAACTCATGCAAATTGCCGAAAATTTTCGAAAGATTTGTAATCACTCGCAAACGGATATTAATGAGTGTACGAAAACTTTGAAATACTAATGGACAGCCTGTTATGACCCGCGTCTGGTACTTTAATTAGCATGAGCGATGAATTAGCCGACCGGTACCCAAGGCCCGTAAGCGATAAGTAGAGAATACCAGTCGGCCGCCGAGAGAGCGTTTATTCAACCAAAACACATTACCGCAAGTCGTTCTCAGACAAAAGCTGAAAGGGGGAACACGAGAGACGTAGCTGAGTCAATGGACCAATCAGAATTGAGCAGACATGCTGGCCGGCAACCAGGTGGTCCGTACGACGCCCTTCTTTTTGTGACTCGTCATGAGAATGGCGGCATTCCCAACACAACCTTAACTGAACTTGTAACTTAAAAACATAAAAGAGTAGCAATTTTTTGTTTAGAAATGCAAACTCTTTAAAGGAGCCTCAAGTTCCGAAAACATGAAAGATCGATATAAATTAGACCAATAAATGTACCCACAAGATTTTTTTCCTATGTCCATATACACAGCAAAATATATGCACTTACGTTTAAGATCCCAACTCTTCGATGCGGTATAAAATAAAATACGATGAACTCTTTTTTTACTACGTTCTGTGACGAAAAACTTTGCATATTGACAAAAATAAATATTAAAACTGAAATTGTTTCTTGTTTCTGAAAAAAGCAATGCGATTTCGTAAATTCGCCCTCATCTGATTTTCATCAACTTAAGACTAGAAACGCACCCAGGGAAAATGTAACAGAAGCGCGGGATGTGGTGGGACTCCTATGCGCATGCTCACTTCGAGCCAGCCACTCGCGTCTAATTTCCCTTTCTGTCTTCTTGACTGTCCCTCTCTCTCTCTATTGCCACTAAACTCGGCTGTTTGGGGGAAAAGTGCGTTAGTAGTGGCTGTCACTATGATCTAATGCAAAAGCTGTCCCCACTCCTGCGTTCAGGCTGTTGTGGGGCACCCGTTGGACATCATCCGAATTGACTCTCAGACCGCCAGGGTGCCCTTCTGATGCTGCTCGTCCAGGCGAGGGCCAATTCTCGGCGTGTTTTCATCCGTTTGTTTTTTCTCTCTCCAGGTTTTTAACCTTGACTATGGGGGACCGTTGCCGGGCCTGTTCTGCTTTCGACAATTGCCCTCTTACAAAATTGTTGTCTGCGGTGGTGACGGCACCATCGGATGGACTCTCTCCTGCCTGGACAGTGTTGGACAGGACGCCTGCTGTCACTCTCCACCCATCGCTGTCCTGCCGCTCGGTACCGGCAACGATTTGGCTCGAGTCCTCAACTGGGGTGGCGGCTACACCTCTGCCGAGGACCCGTTACAAATCCTCAAGAACATTGT